AATGCATCTACATGTGGCAAGTTGTGATGTTTTCTTCTTTGACATGTCTGGCAATGAGTATGTGGAGTTCTTCTACAATTACATGGTCATGCGGCAGTGGGCTGATGGTGATCTTCACTGCCACATGTGAATATTCAATTCTTGTATTCTCCATCTCCAAATGATAGAAATATTTGAAAATCTCTGCGTGTTGATGGAGTAGAATGTTTCCTAACTTGAGTAATGATTGGATGGCATTTTTATGTGTGTGGCAATTTGCTGTCTGCGGGGAGACATTGAAGACTGAACTTGTCAACGCTTTGATTATTGCATTGCAAGGCTCTGGCAGCCAAGAGTGGATGAATTGGCTCATGACCTCCCTTTATCAGGTCCATAGGTTTGGCCTATGACTTTACAACACAAAAGCTTGTTTGGCAAAAAGATTGAACTACGAACAAAGAACGCACAACTGGGGATTTGGCATCTTAAGGATTATGAGCTGGACTTGAAATGAGGATTAATATTTTGATAGCTTTAATTGATGTAGTCGTGAATGTGCTCTTCTTGTGGTAGGATGATACTTGACTTCTGCAGTAGAATTGTGGTTGGCTTCTGCCGCATAATGGTGTTTGACTTCTACGGTAGAATTATGGTTGGCTTCTGCTGTAGAATGATGTTTAAGATTGGTGCTGCTGCTTCATGTGACCACTTTCAACTTCACTTGCGGCAAGATACGAGACACGACACTATGCCTTTTCACTTCCATCATGCTCGGCAGTGGACAACTAACAGATTGAGCCTTTTTTTTTTTGCTTTGGTTGTATGGCCTCGCACAATTTGGATGTACTGCAGTGCCTTGGTGATTTTGTCTTGTTGCGGAATTCTTGCAATTTTGGCTAATTACGGGGTTTTTGTAATTTTAGCTGGTTGCGGCAATTTTCAGAATTTTGGGTACTTGCAGCAATTTTACAATTTTTGGGTTGCTGCGGCATCTTTGGCAAGTTGCGGCAACTGTGGTAATTTTGACTAGTTGCAGGGTTTTGACAATTTGGAGTTGCTGCGATGGCTTACCGCAGCGGCTTTTGGCCATAGGTTCCTAGCACGTGCGGTAAGTGCTTTTGGGTTATGCTTGTTTTGTTGTTGCGCCGCATCTCATTGTGTTGTGTTGCGCCACATTTCATGTTTGATGCCATGAGCTTCTGATGCCACATCTCATATGCACATGCTTCATTGCCGCGTCTATCTCATTGTGTCGTCTCCCAGTGCGGCATCTCTACTGCAACGTCTCCCCAATGCCGTAAGACAACTTTTTTTTTTAAAAGAACTATCCACCTCCTGTAGACGTAGTTCCCTTATTCCCTTCATCTCATTTTAATTATTTTATTTCTTTTGAAGACAAAAATCCCCTTTATTATTTCTTTTTTTTTGTCTAACTCTTTTATTTCTTCTCACGTTTCTTCACTTCTCTTTTCACGTTTCCTTATCTCGCCTTTTCAGCTTCCTAATCTGCTTTATTCTTCCTTTTCCTCTTAATCGTAGACTTCAAGCTCCAAAGGTAAACTCGCTTTTTTTCCTTGCTGCGTCATTTTTTCTTCTTCTCCTTTCTGTTTTTTTTTATGATGGCCGTCGCGGTTGGGACTCTCTGTCGCCGTTTCAGCGCGGCATGGCTTCGGTCTAGGCTGGGCTGCCATAGTTGCTTACCGCTGCTGTTGTGGCTTTGATTGACTGTCTTGAGCCCGTCAGCGGTGGGCTAGGGTTTCCCTAAATCTTCCTATTTTCGTTGATCTTTGCTGTGATGGCCGCCGCGTCGCCTGATGTCACAATCTGGGGCTGCTTGCCTTACGGCAATATTGCTGCCATGCCATTTGGTGCCGCGGAAGTTAGCTTTTTTTTTTGTTGGAGTGCTGTCGCTTGGTCTCTCTGCCATTGCCGTCGCGGTGCTTGGTTTGAGTTCTTACGTGTTATCCGCTGCCATGGCTGCTTGCTGCGGTGGCTTTGGTAGTTTGCCCCGAACCCATCGACGATGGCTAAGGTTTACACAAATCAATCATTTTTTTTCTTTTTGCTGTTAGATGGTGTCTGCTGCGGCTTGGGCTCCTTTGTTACCGCCCTAGTTTAGGCCTGCTGCCGCGTCTGCTTGCTGCAGTGGCTGTTGCCGTGGTAGTCGACTGCCACTAGTCCCAGCGGCGGCGGTGTTAGGGTTTTTCGCACCCTCTTTTTTTTTGGCCTTTTTGTTTGTGCACCCTTTTTGTCGTATCTCTTCTTCTCCCTTTCTCCCTTTTTTTTCTTCTTTTTTTTTCGTTGTATATGCTTTGTTATTGGGGTGCCGCTGTCCGGTCCCTTCGCACCCACCGTGCATGGCCCGGTTCCGGCCTGTGTCGAGCTGCCATGGCTGTTTGCTGTGGTGGCTGTTGTCGTCGTTGCGGTGCTTCAGTCCCGATGCTAGTCTTAATGGCGGCTAGGCTAGGGTTTCTGCAAAACCCCTTTTTTTTTTCAAAAAGATAGGCTGAGTTTTGTTGGTTGTGCTCGGCAGAGGAATCAGCATGCTCGTCTTGGACATCAACCAATTCTGCAGGTGCGTTCTGACTTCCCAACCGAATTGCTGCTCGACGCGGCATATTTCCTCCTCAAGTATTTTGCCGGCTCCCTAGTGGAGTCGTCATTAAATGTGGGGAATTTTTTGTGCGGCAAATATGGGCTAACTAGTCTCGGCTCCAAAGGGTTTGGGCCGACCCCTTTTTTAAGCGAAAATAGGGCTTGAGAGGAAAATGAAGTAAGGACACTTGTTTGGCAAAACTTGTGGAAAATCAATTATGGCGGTTGGTAGTATGGCAGTAATAAAACATGACGCGGCTGGAGTATTCTGGAATGGATAAGTGTGGCGAGTATGACTAACTACGGCGTAGGGTGCTATGCCGCAAATCTAAGATTTCCAAGGGGAGAACACGGGCTCTGTTAGCCCCTGTTTTTCACTCTCAAGAACAGAGAACTATGTAGAAATTATATTAAGAAAGAAAAATTGCTTTGATTTACTTTAAACAAATGGGAAATACAATTAGAAAAATGGGCTTGAAGAAAGAAGGTGGGAATGCTACTTTAAGGGAAATAATTCAAAGAAAAATGATTTGGGTGTTTTGTTGTGCAGAAAATGAAGTTACAGGGATGAAGATTGTTGAAGATGAACTGGACACCGCGGCTATTTATAGACCCCCTTCTGCCGTACAAGGCTCTTCATGGCAATGGTTTTCCTGCCGTGGACCTCACCTACTCCCAAGGGCATCTTCCATATTCGGCTTATGCTCAAACACACTTTTCCTCATTTTGAATTTCTGTTGCTTTTATGGGTGTCGAGTTAACTTCATCTTCGGCATCTGAGATTCTTGGCAATGCCGTAAGTCAAATGTTGCGGAGATTCTTTCCCTTTTTCTGCAATGATGTTATCCTTGGGACTGGGAGCAACCCCCAAGCAAGCTGTCCCTCCCAAAACTAAACCTGACAGGATTCCCACCTTCATATGCCTCCAAACCACAACTTCAAATTGTTTTCCCGCTCCGTGGTCTTGGTCCACGTGCCTGCAAGTGCAACTTATTAGCATGTTTCATCGCAGTTGTTAAGCTTTAGCTGCTGTAATTAAAGGCAAAAATAGGATTATCACAAGCAAGAATTCCCTTTTTCGGTAATATTCTCTTCTTCTCATCTTCACTCCGGAATCTTCGGTTACTCCCCAAGTAGCGCTGCGGTGCCCTGCTGCCATGTGATGGTGAAGATTCTTGCCGTGAAATGTTTGTCTTCATATGGCAATATAGTGGGACTTGGGCCCTTGCTTATGACTTATTGGGCCAGCTAAAGAACCTAGGCTTTGTTTGGACCTTAAGTGTGTATGTGAATTTCATTGGGCTTCTTTGGGTGCATTGGGCTTTAATGAGGTATTTTGTGAAAAAGGGAAAAATAAAGTATTTTCAGTATTTTTTGGCTATGGTAAATAATTGGGATTTTTGTGTTTAAATGGGCTTGGTTATCCCACATTTGACCCTTAACACCCTTTTTATATAGGGGGCGGCCTGGGCTTGGTAACAAGGTCGACGGTCTGGTGAATACTTAGTCAACAAGTATATGCTGCAATCCGACTTGACTTGTTTTCCTTCTCCGATGATTCAAGGAACCTTCGTGGAAAACTGAGAGACTCTAATATGACTTTCAACGCTGACTATCATCCATGACTTGATCAAATGCAGACCATCACACATCCTGCATGACCTTGGCGCCATTTTCCTTGTCTCGGGCTTTGGTCGTTTTTGCACTGTAACTTGATTCGCCGATGAAATAGCCAAAACGAACCTAACTTCTAAAACGAACCCCTAGGCCACGAAAGTTATCATAACTTAACCATTCTTGACCTATGGTTCGATCAAAACAGAGTCGGATATGAAAATGACTAAACAGAGGTTGGAAATAGGGTTCTTAGTTTGGGAAATTTGGGGATTAGGGTTTTCTTGTGCAATTAATCTAATTAGTTGCAATAACTCTAATTGATTGTGTAATTGAGATTCTTGGGTTGCGTTTGCTGTGAATTGTGATTTGATTTGAAGAATTTCAGGTCATAAACCCTATTGGAGACAAGTGGTATAAAATTGGAATTAAGTGGTACTAGGGTTTCCTAATCGACTTGATTATTTGAATTGAGTTTTGTGCAGCAACTTTGGAGAAGAATTTCGACATAAAGAGCCTGCATCAAGTGGTTTGGTTTGGTTTAAGATCACTTTTCTTTTGATTCACAAATAACTTTGCTATTAATTGTTTGTTCCTCAAGTAGGTCACGAGAAGAAAGGAGTGCTCTAGGAGTTGCTCTTATTAGGCCTATTGAAGCTAGTAAAAGGCAAATCTTGTGAGATCATTAAGAGATTAGTGGACCGCCAATCCATAGGACTTGAGTACAAACACGAGAGCACGAGCCAAAGGTATAAGCACACACACACTTGTGAGGATTTTTATTACTAATTTTTGTTCTTTTTGTAGATTCAATGGAAGATAGACAAGAAGAACAAAATCAAGGAGAGAATACTAATAACATGTTGCAACAAATTATACGACAACTTGGCACCATGACAACAAGATTGGAGACATTGGAAACTCGAAATCCGCAAGCTCAACAAGGAGCTAATGCCGCAATCAACAATGAGGATCATCCTCCACCACCGAGGCAAATTGCTAGAATCGATCCTATGGAGAGACTAAGGCAACAAGAACTTGGTGGGCAAGCTCATAATGACAACATGCGGCCTAGGAGAGGAATTGAGAGAGAGGAGCCTAAAGACAACATCAAATACAAAATCCCTAAATTCAATGGGAGAGGGTCTCCATCCGATTACTTGGAGTGGGAGTCGAAATTGGATATGTATTTCGATTACTATCCTCATGCCGAGCCAAAGAAGGTACAAATTGCTACTCTTGAATTCACGGAGAATGCTTTGAATTGGTGGAATCAATTGGTGCAAACAAGAAGGAGAAACTTGGAAAGGCCGATCAATACTTGGTTAGGTCTAAAGAGTTACATGAGGAAGAGGTTTGTTCCAAGCTTTTACACTAATGGTCTCTACCAAGAGTTGCATTCTTTGAGGCAAGGAACTAGGAGTGTTGATGAATACTACTCCGAGATGATGTTGTTGATGTCAAGGGCCGAGATCGATGAAGCTCCACAAGCTCCTATAGCTAGATTCTTGGCGGGATTGAATAGAGAAATTCATGATATTGTGGAGATGCAACAACACTATGAGGTTGAGGAATTGCTTCAACATGCTTTGAAGGCCGAAAGCCAAATAAAAAGGAATAAGAAGAGCTTTACATCATCATCATCAAGCTCATGGAAAACTCCAATCAAGAAGGATGAGAAGTCATCAAAGGAAAAGGAGTCTGCGCAAAAGGTTATGACCCCTAAAACCGATTCTAAATCTTCATCTAGCTCATCTTCTAAAAGCTATGTAAAGTGTTTCAAGTGTCAAGGATATGGACACTTTGCAAGAGATTGCGTTAACAAGAAAGTCATGCTTACTAATGACAATGGCGAGATTGTAAGTGAAGATGAATATATTGCGCTTGGATCAAGTGGTGATGGAGATGATGAAGGAGATGCGCATGATGATAGTGATGATGGTGACGGTTTTGCACTTAGAAGTTTAGTTGCTAGGAGAACTTTGAGTGCTTATGTGAAGGATGATGTGAACAACCAAAGGGAGAACTTGTTTCATACTAGGATGTATGCGAATGGGAAGCCTAGTAGTGTGATTATTGATGGAGGGAGTTGTACAAACATAGCTAGTGTTTATTTGGTGAAGGAGATGCAATTACCCACTACAAAACACCCTAAGCCTTATAGTTTGGGTTGGATCAACGATAAGGAAGAAATTAGGGTTAACAAACAAGTTTTAGTTTCTCTTTGTTTGGGCAGGTACAAAGGAGATGTATTGTGTGATATCTTACCCATGCAAGCATGCCATGTACTACTTGGACGACCATAGGCAATATGACAACAAAAGTTCAACATGATGGTGAGACGAACCAATATACTCTTATGTGTGGTAAGAAGCCCTTTACTTTTATTCCGTTATCACCTCAAGAAGCTTTAAAAGATCAATTGAAATTGAAAGAGGATTTTGCTAAGCTAGATTCGGAATTTAGGGCTAAAGAAAAGACTAATCATGCTAGTTTAGATAAGAACTGCGATATAGTTAAGCATGATAGATCTAAGAAGGTTAATAAGGAGTGTATGTTAGCAACTAAGAGTGAGATTAAAGAAGCTTTGAATGATAATTCTGTTTTGATCTTGCTTTTGCTTAAATATACACTTGTGAGCACTAACCACTTGGAAAGCGAGCTTCCAAGCAACATTGTTTCTCTTTTGAGTGATTATGTAGATGTGTTTCCTGAGGAGATTCCTAGTGGTTTACCACCAATTAGGGGGATTGAACATCAAATCGACTTCATCCCTGGGGCGCAAATTCCAAATAAGCCAGCTTATAGGACAAATCCTGAAGAAACAAAGGAATTGGAGAAGCAAGTTGGAGAGCTACTTCAAAAAGGGTTTGTGCGTGAGAGCCTTTCTCCATGTGCCGTTCCTGTGTTGCTTGTTCCTAAGAAGATGGGGCTTGGAGAATGTGTGTTGATTGTAGGGCAATAAACAACATCACGGTAAAGTATCGTCACCCTATTCCTAGATTAGATGATATGCTTGATGAATTGCATGGTGCTTGCTTATTTTCTAAAATTGATCTTAAGAGTGGCTATCATCAAATTCGCATGAAAGAGGGTGATGAATAGAAAACTGCCTTTAAAACTAAATTAGGGTTGTATGAATGGTTTGTTATGCCTTTTGGATTGACTAATGCACCTAGTACATTCATGCGATTAATGAACCATGTTTTAAGAGCTTTTATTGGCAAGTTTGTTGTTGTTTATTTTGATGATATACTTGTGTATAGCCAAAACCTAGATGAGCATGTTAAGCATCTAAGATGTGTGTTAGATGTACTTAGGGTTGAGAAATTGTATGCTAACCTTAAGAAGTGCACCTTTTGCACAAACAAGCTTGTTTTTCTTGGTTTTGTGGTTTCATCGCAAGGTATAGAGGTTGATGAAGAAAAGATCAAGGCAATCAAAGAATGGCCAACACCCACCAACGTTGGACAAGTGAGATCTTTTCATGGACTAGCCGGATTCTATAGGAGGTTTGTTAAGGACTTTAGCACCTTAGCCGCCCCTATTACAAGTGTTATGAAGAAGAATGCACCATTCAAGTGGGGAGATGAACAACAAGAAGCATTTGAGACGTTGAAGGATAAACTAACTAATGCTCCTTTGCTTGTTTTACCTAACTTTAACAATACTTTTGAGATTGAATGTGATGCATCAGGGGTTGGAATTGGAGCTGTTTTAATGCAAGGTGGGAAACCCGTCGCTTACTTTAGTGAGAAATTGAATGGGGCTGCATTGAACTATCCAACCTATGATAAAGAGTTGTATGCTCTTGTGAGGGCGTTGCAAACTTGGCAACACTACCTTTGGCCTAAGGAATTCGTGATTCATACGGATCATGAGAGCTTAAAGTATTTAAGAGGCCAACAAAAGCTAAACAAGAGGCATGCTAAGTGGAGTGAGTTCATAGAGAGCTTTCCTTATGTTGTGCGATACAAACAAGGTAAGGAGAATGTGGTAGCCGATGCTTTATCAAGGAGGTATGTCTTACTTTCCATGCTTGATTCTAAGTTTCTTGGTTTTGAGTATATTAAGGAATTATATGCTAGTGATGTCTACTTTAGTGAAACATTTAAAGCATGTGAAAATTCTGGTTTTGGAAAGTATTATAAGCATGATGGATTTTTGTTTAAGGAATCTAGATTGTGTGTGCCTTCTTGCTCTTTGCGCATATTGCTTTTGAGGGAATCGCATGAAGGGGGTTTAATGGGTCACTTTGGAGTTGATAGAACATATGATATATTGCATGAACACTTCTTTTGGCCAAAGATGCGACATGATGTAGGGAAGTATGTTGCTAGTTGCATTGTTTGTTTGCAAGCTAAATCTACATCTAAACCGCATTGATTGTATACTCCTTTGCCTATTCCTCATGAACCATGGACTCATATTAGCATGGACTTTGTGTTAGGTTTACCTCGTTCTAGGAGAGGTAAAGATTCTATCTTTGTGGTTGTTGATAGGTTTTCTAAGATGGCTCACTTTATTGCATGTACTAAAACGGATGATGCCATTAATGTAGCTAATTTGTTCTTTAAGGAAATTGTTAGACTACATGGAATGCCTAGAACGATTGTAAGTGATAGAGATGCTAAGTTCTTAAGTCACTTTTGGAGAACTTTATGGGCTAAGTTAGGAACTAAGTTGTTATTTTCTACTACTTGTCATCCTCAAACCGATGGTCAATCCGAGGTAGTTAATAGGACTTTGTCTACTTTGCTTAGGGCTTTAATTAAAAAGAACTTAAGAACTTGGGAGGATTGTCTACCTCATGTCGAATTTGCATATAATAGAAGCATACATAGCACCACTGGATGTTCACCTTTTGAAACTGTGTATGGCTTTAATCCTTTAACCCCATTGGATTTGTTGAGTTTACCTTTGAGTGTGCAAGTTGACATGGATGGACAAAGGAAGGCCGAATATGTTAGAGAACTTCATGCTAGGGTTCGAGCTCAAATTGAGAAGAAGACACAACACTACATGAAGAATGCTAACAAAGGGCGCAAGGAAGTCATCTTTGAACCCGAGGATTGGGTTTGGTTGCATCTAAGGAAGGAGAGGTTCCCTGAAAAGAGAAAGTCTAAGCTCTTACCTCGTGGAGATGGTCCATTCCAAGTCTTGGAGAGGATCAACAACAACGCCTACAAGCTAGATCTTCCTAGTGAATATGGCAATGTAAGTGCTACTTTTAATGTTTCAGACTTATCCTTGTTTGATAGTGATGCAGATTTGAGGACAAATCCTTTTCAAGGGAGAGGGGATGATGCGCCAAGGGCTTATCATGGCTTAGAAGAACACATTGGAGCCAATGAAGATCAAGGAGATGTCATCGATGCTAGCTTGGAAGAGCATGGAGTTGGAGGCACGAGTGACCGGCCATTGCTTGGAGAAGCCGCGCAACACCGGCCACATGACCGGCCATCGCATGCGACATCGCATGGAGCAACCGGCCACAACCGGCCATCGATTGGGCCATCCGGACAAGACCGGCCTTTTGATCCTTTAGCCATTCCGCAAGGTCCAATGACTAGGGCTCGGGCTAAAAGGTTCAAGGAAGCTTTATTGGGCTTTGTAAGATCTCATCTTGGAGGTTTAGAGTCCATTGAAGAACATTTGGAAGGCATTGAAGTCGACATCACCAAGAATATTCCCATCGATTCCAAGGTGTTTACCTTACTTGAAATCGATGAGCATTAGACTTTGGCATTGTGTCATTCGGCCTCATGGGCCTTTATTCTATCTTAGATTAGTTATTTATTTAGTTTAGAAGACATTGGGTTGGGCCTTGTTTGACTAAGTCCAATCCTTGCTTAATTAAGTTATGTATTTACTTTTCCTAGTAGGACAAGGAGTAGGCTATTTCCTTGTTCCTTCCTTTATGTAATGTTTTCCTTTTAGTTTTAGGAGAAGGGTTATGTGTCCCCTACTAGTATATAAAGGGACCATCCCCCTCTTGTAAACACAAGTCAAGTTAATCAATAAAGTTGAGAGGTTTATACCCACATTGATTTCTTTGGCTTCATTGTTCTAGTTTGAGCAAACTTAGGGTTCTTTGATCTTGTAGAGTCCTAGCAAACAATTAAGTTGTGATTGCTTGGTTGTTTGTGAATCTTGTGATCTTAGGTGTTCAAGTGCAGGTCGACTTGGAGGTCTAAGGCCGACGAACGAAGGAAGATTTATCAAGTGAAGATTGTCGACATACTCATCTAGAAGTTTGGTGATTCAAGTTGATCTTAGGCGGTCTCTAAGGTGGATTTGGACCAATTACAACTAGATTCGTATCAAGCCATATGTCCTAAATTGAAAGACTTGCAAAAGTTGCCAGAAAATGGTCAAAATAGGCTAAGCACGAAATTGACTTGCCTTTAACCATAATATGACATTACTAACAAGACTTCACACAAATGATGTCATTTTGAGCTCCAATTTGACCTTTTCCGAGCAGGTATTTTTAATTGAAAACCGCATAAAGTTACGACTGATGTCGGATTAAGCCCAAATTTCACCAGTAGGGTTCGATTATCATAACAAGACCTTAGGAAAAGTTCTGGTCGAAATCAAAATGTCTTTCATGGTGAAATTGGTTTCACACACCAAACTATCCTTAGTTGAAAACCGTGAATAAGTTTTTCATACTAAGTCAAACTGAGATGAAATTTTACTAGAATGATCTATGGAAGTCAAGGATCATAATGGTATATTACTTGTTGAAATCGCACCATCCTAGCCCTCTCAATTCCATCAATTTCGCCTTTTGCCCTTAATTGAACAAAATGTAAAAGTTGGATATTTTTTTGACCTAATTTGACAATGATCAAATTAGGGTATGGGTGGTTAGGACAAGTTACTGGTCACCGGCTGAGCTGACCAAGCGATCTAAATACATCAGTTTATGGGATAATATTTTACTCATGGTACTCTCTTTGCCTTATTCTATTCCATTGTCTCTTTTTCTGCGTAAGTATGCTTGATAACGAGCTTTTCTCTTCAATATCTATGGTGTGTATATTATATATATGTAGAGGTTGTGGAATAGCAATTTGGCTGACTTCAGCAACTGATGGATCTATGATAGGCGATGGGAACTAAATAACTAGCGGTGGTCGACGGCAGTTGAAGGGGCATATCAGGCGAAATGGCAAAGGAGCAACGGTGATGGCAACGACAGGATGAGGCAGTGGGATGGGATGGAGCGGTGGAGAAGTGGAATGTTGATGGAGAAGGAGATGAAAAAGGACACATCACAGTCTGGTAGACTGGTCTGCTGCTTTGGTTTCGTTCAGCCGAGAACAAGCATTCAAAATGCGAAAGAAAAGGGGGTTAGGGATTTGGTTGAATACTTGAAATTCATTTTTTTTCCGAAGGGGTGGGGTGGGCTTTTGCAGCTGTGACTTATGACTTCAGTTTTTAGATTTTGCTTTGTATTTTATTCCAATATTCAATTTTTTTTAAATCTGATGGGAAACCAAGTAAAAAAAAAATCGGACTTTATCGGTTTTTTGCGGTTCCGACTCAAACTGTTCAGGAGGTTCTAATGCAGTTCAAGGGAACCGCGGTTTACCTCCCCTAATCAGGCCGGATGCCTGTCCGGTAGCTGGTCGTACCGGTCGAATCGTTCGGTCCAGTCCGGTTTCAAAAACAATGGTTGAGACTAAGTGTCAATGTGTCAAATAACATGCGACAAATCTAAATTAGACATGGCATTGTGTATTTTTCATGAAATTAGGATGGTCGTCACATAAGAATTAAATCTTCGTTGATCTTGAAGTTGTGTGAAATAGCTTTAAATCTTTTCTGATCATTACTATTGAGCTAATAATAATTCTGAAATATTTATTATTATTCAATAATTATTCCTTAAAATCGGCTCAATATTAGGAAATTAGGAAAATAAAATCCCTTTCCTAATTGATTTAGGGGGAATTATCATTACTTGTAACTGTAAGTGAAAATTACCCCTAAAGTGTAATGAATTATCATTTGTCTAGGTTTAGTGTAAGGCTAAACGTATTTCCCCCTAAGTGTAATGGGTTATATGTGTTTTACCTATTTTACTCTTTTTTAAATTGAAGAAAAATTAAGGAAAATCAATAATTTTAACTAAAAGAAAAAAAATCCCATCATCCTCGTTCCATGTTCCCACCAATACCGATCGGATTTCCAGTAAACCCTCGATGAAGAATTGCTTTGTGATTAAAAGTAAAGACCAAAGGCAAACAAGAAATTAAATAAATTGGGAATGTGATTCAAAATCTCAGGTCTGAGCTTTAAAGTTTGGACCATGTTTTATCTCGATTTGAGTCGATTAAGGTAATGAGTTTACCTATTTCGAGCCCAAGACCATTTTCAGTTGCCTTCAACAAGACAACAACCGATCATTCCCAGTTCCATTCCTATCGTGATCTCTCGCAAAGAAGAAGTGAAGATGGAGCAAACAAAGCAAAGCCCTTTTAGCTTCAAAACCCAGAATTTTTTTTTCTCGGTTATTAATATCTTTCTTTGTATAGATAACTTTTGTCTCTCATGGCACTCCAGGAATCTAGCTTTTGCTACTTTTGTATGTGAGCATACTTTCAATTTAACCATAATAGAAAATATGAACAGGATTGGTCTTTTAACCCAAACAAATCAACCACATACATATTAATAAACAAGAAGGTTAGATCAACTTACCTTTGTCCATAGCCTTTCTAGAAAATCTTGAACAGGGTGATTTTCTCCTTTCTTCCTTCTACTTTAATTGTTTCTCTGATGGATGAGAAACCCTAGCCGTCAAGTGTTTTTTACTTTTTTTTTAAAGGGAAATGAGAGGGTTCATCCCTTTTATATAGCAAACCCCTTTAGGTCCTAACCCTATTAGGATTATTAAAACCTTATGGACCTCTCTAAGTCCTTGTCTAACTAGGATTTTAAGTCCATCAATTAAAACCCTTAATGACAAGGAAAGCCCAAAGTTATATGGGTCAAACCAATTAGATTAAAAATAAATCTAACAATCTCCCACTTGGCCCATATAATGACTTGAAGATTCAATATACCTTAAGTGCGCATTTTATATTGAAATTCACAAGTCATATCATTCCTTTGATTGAATTGAGTTAATCGGATCATGGCTGTCACAAGTCTAATAACAACTTGATCCCTTCCATGTATCACATAATTAACCCAGTTCAAAATGGCCTTATGGAGAATAACCATAATTGAGAAACACTATAATACTCATATAATGTCATCACAGAAAACAATAATGTATACAAT